AAACTATATCAAGATAGCATAAAACTTGAATGTCGGGGCAGCTCAATATTGAACAGAGTCGACTGCTATACGAGAACGGCTTTAACTTCTGCCAGGGACACTCACAGGAAGCCATCCCTCATGAGGGAAACGGTGAAATTGCAGACATTTGATATAATATGTTGGGAAGCCTGTGACAGTGGCAGAATATGTGATGTTACCCAGGGGAAGCTGAATAACTGTGCACAGGTGACACACTGTCTGGCATGATCAAGTTGGTGGGTAAATCTGAAGGTTGCCTGTGTGACAGACTGTGCAGCTCAGGTTGGTCTGTGCTGACATCGCCTGATTTATCCATGTTTGACATGGATCCCTGAAGCATTGCTGCACAAGTTATTACATGTACTATGTGCATTCTCAGTGCATTATGATATTGAATATTTGATCCATATACATGTATGAGTTTATCTCAACACTTTCTGGGAAGTCTTGATTAGGCCACACCAAGTAAATTTTATGGATGACGTCCTTTGGAGACCCTAAATCTAATGCGAGAGGGCGAAAAAAAAACAAGAAGGGCCCTAAAAAACAAGATGCCTAGATTAGAAATATACTAAGAGACGACACATGTTAGGACACAAATTGAATGAGGTGACACAGTGTAACAAGCGAGAAGTCTTTTATTCATCATCAAAACAGCAATAAATCAGGTGGAACAGCAGTTGTCGTCCTGTCCTGTTTTCGCGTTACGGGTTCCATGTCAATCTGACGATTTGCAGCACTGTCGTGACTCTTTGGTCATAGTTACAGGAAGCAGAATTTCTTGGTTTTTTTTTCTAGGAACAGGCCAAAATCAATGCGCGCGCGGACGTCATCCATAAAATTTACTTGGTGTGGCCTTACATAGATATCATTCAAATACGAAGATGAGAATTGGTTCTGAGTCAAAGTGTATTGAGCTCAATACACATGTATTGAGCTTTGCAAGTACAGATGCAATTACAAATGCATCTTGGTTTTCCTTTCTCCCTTTAGGCAATATCTACTGGTTACTTGAAATGTAAATGTTTCTGCAACTTATAGGCCAATTTCTTATCACAGACGGCTTAGATTTATACTTTATACCATTAGAAAGTAAAAATTCATTTCTTCTATTGAAGCCAGTCTTATACTAGTTATAATATTGAGTGTGGTTGGGGAAAGAAAAAACGCATCACATACGTATTTGATAACGGATCACCCCTCTGCATGCACATTTGATTGTATACCTGTCCCAGATACATCACGCTGCTGATCCTAGAGCTGCGGGGCAAGCTTCAGCTATCCCATTACTGAGACAGTCTGCATGAGTCTTCATATGTGGGTCAAGGCAAATTGTTTCAGCATCATCTTCTTTCTCTCTTCCTTCGGCAAGTTTCGGCAAGTTTGATTTGATTGTAAAATCATTTGCATTGTGTTTTAAAGATGCATAATGATAAGCCAACATATTAGTTAAGAATATTTTTAAATCTTTATCAAACTGAATCCTACTCCATGTTGTAAGTAACCTTACAGTCATAAGTAAGAATTGCATATGATAAGTGTTGGAGGTAAGGGCCATACCATTTTATTTCCTTGGTTCTCAGA